CCCAAATCATTAGCATTGGTAGCGTCTGGTGTTGAAGATAAATGGAAAGGGTTAGTCGTGGGGATGGAAGAAATATTAAGAGGTGAGGAAGGGATTCGATCATTGACAAGATAATTTCGGGTGCCGATAGAGGTTGAAGGGGGTTATTACTTTCAAGGTTGCCCGCACGTTGAGAGGATATTTCTTCTTGAGCAACCTAAAGAAGAAGCTGAATCAGCGGCGATCTTGGCGACCTTAGAGCATGATTACAGAGCCCAAGGAACAACTGATTAAGGCCGTCACGAACAGCTTTTTTGTGGGGAGTTTTTGATGTATTAGCTCTGCACTTCCAAAGGTCTTACTGCAGGGAACGGAAATCCGTGAGGTAGGGTGATGTGTGAAATTTTTAAAACCGACGTTCTCTAACCCCTTCCGTCCGTAATAAGAAAGTGGAATCTCTGCAGATGCTGGTTGTCTGAGGGAAACACCTTACCGCCGTCACAACCCTGTACGGTCATAAGTACGACTACGCCCTCGGTCCTAAAGTTGCTCCTTTTAGTCTAACCGTTCTTCAGCCGACCTGCCTGGTATGGCAGGACCTAAAGGAACATATGCTCAAGACAATATAAGCCGATCGAATCATCACGATAGGCAAGCCCGACCACTATGTCAAGGTAGCAGCTACGGTTAAAAAGAATAGACTAATTGTTTTTTGGCTAATTATGCAGGATCTTGTTCAGAAATACGATAATACGATAATGGTCCGTCTAAAATTTCAGCGGCCGACTTCTTTAGTGAAATCAGTCTTACAGAACTCACAGCATATTGATGTACTGAATCAGGTTTTAGTGGCTCTGAATCCGATCTCACTTAAATCGTATAAATGATCATTAACAAGTGATAGCTGTCAGAATATACATGTCACCAATTATATACGAGGATTGGCGACAATTATATTTTGACAGCGATCACTCGTTAACGATCGTTCATACTGTTTAAATGGAGTCAGATTCAAGGCCTTTAAAGTGGTGAGCTCGCCAACGACGAACCTAACGCAGCAAACCACGTCGATGAAGAACCTTCTGCATTCCATACCTTTGGTGAACAAACTCAGTGAAACCAGGTCAGTAGATAAATAACGCTGTTTTTCACTGTACGATCAAATCAGAGAGAGATCACAGCATCACTAAAGTGGTAGGCTTGACCTCAAACTAAACACACCTTGCAAATCTACTTAGACGGTGAACTCTACACGTCCAATAAACGAAGGAAGCGGAGATAGAGAAACGAAACGGATTGATACGCACTGGAGAATACATGTGAGCCAACTCTTCTTTCTTTCCTTTTCTCCGTCTCTCGGATTGTCTGTTCTGATCAATGATTGAACAAGATATATGTATTTAAAACTTCATTCTCGTATTTGACCTATTTTAATTCTGCTATTCACCAACGCAATTCAAGTCGATAAAATATTCGAGGATTGACAATATGTATAAATCAATAACAAACATAATACGATCGAAGTGGAGTCAGATATTCCATGGCCACTAAAAGGTCAATTTAAATGCTTCTATGATAACATTAAAAAAGTATACCATTTTGTTTTCATGTAGTTAGATGTTTGACATTAACCTAGAAAATGTACTTTTATTTTTTTTTCTTTTGTGATCTATAAACAATCGACTTTTAATTCCATCTATTAGTTTTTTTTATTCATGCACTTATGCACAAACTTTTGCCTTTTGCACTATCTGACAACTGATGAGTTAATAGTAATTAAATCAATAAATATTGCTTCAAACTAAATAAAATTATAAAGTAAAAGTGATATATACAATAGAAATTACTAGTGATCGGTACATAAAACTAACCTAATAATCTGATGGACGATCATTTTAATTCAGTAGTGACATTATACCGTTTAAGATAATGTATGGACTATATTTCTATATAGATGTAAAGATGATATGTGCATTTATTTCAAGTGTAGTTTATATCAAATGTCTTTTTACCTTTACTTACTTACGCCTGTTACTCCCAATGGAGCATAGGCCGCCGACCAGCATTCTCCAACCCACTCTGTTCTGGGCCTTCTTTCCTAGTTCCATCCAATTCTTGTTCATTTTTCTCATGTCTATCTTCATTTCCCGGCGTAATGTGTTCTTTGGTCTTCCTCTTTTCCTTTGGCCTTCAGGATTTCAAGTGAGGGCTTGTCTTGTGACGCAGTTGGGTGCTTTCCTCAGTGTGTGTCCTATCCACTTCCAGCGCTTCTTCCTGATTTCTTCCTCCGCTTGGATCTGGTTTGTTCTCTCCCACAGTAGGTTGTTGCTAATAGTGTCCGGCCAACGGATCCTAAGTATTTTGCGTAGACAACTGTTAGTAAACACCTGTATTTTCTGAATGATTGCTTTCGTAGTTCTCCAGGTTTCTGCCCCATACAGTAGAACTGTCTTGACATTTGTATTGAAAATCCTGACCTTGGTTTTCACCTTTACTCACAGTATTTATGATTCATCATTATAATCTTTGTATATGTGAAGTTGTACTTTGGTATATGCTACTTATGCTGATAGATATAAATAGTATGTGGCACTAATCGGAAGTGGAATGCCTGCAAGCAGAAGATTGGAATGAAAACTAGAAGCAATCAGGGTAACAGCAGATATGAAGGAACAATGAAGTTTGTAAGAAACAATTCAAAAATGTGCGAATGGTGTACTTAGTGTATGATTTTCACAATTTACTTAACCATTGTGTGAATTCTTCGTACACTACGGTATAGTAAAACAAATCTCAGTAATGTAAATTTTGGGTAGCCCAAATAGTGCTTAGTTCAAATGAAAACAAATCATCCACTAAAAGCATACTTATTGGGTAGTTAAGTAATATAATTTATAACAATGAAGTAGTAAGTCTGAACTCTGATATACCTACTTAAGCTTGGATAACCATAAAGTATTACCAGCCACCAACATAAACCATATAGTACATAGTGAAGTAACGGGACTTTGATTAAGTCACGGATCTAGGTGAAATTACATTCTCATTCTCAAGATCTTTTTTTAAACTTCAGATAGAATTAAGCTGAATTGATGACAGTTGCAGAGAATCAGTCTTCGACCTAATCTTAAATGAAAGTAATTGTTTTGAAACGAAAGCTTGAGAGGTGATATTTGTTATTAATTTTTCTATTCAATAAGGCTCGTGGTACTTGTGTACTTGAGCCATAGGATTGAACTGTCCCACTAGGGTGCAAAGAGTCAGGACGGTGTCTAGCTCTCCTGAAAACTAATTTAAATTCACGTCTTTCTGAAGTATAATTATAATCATGAATTTTTTCATTTAGGCAATTCTCAGAAACTTTAAAAGTCAAGGTCAACTTTTTTTAAGTTTGTAGTTTCATTTCTTTCATCAAGTCGTGAGGTATTGGGATACCCTATCTACATAGAGAGGATCTTCAGCTTCTTTTGATACATTCAAAGTGAGATTGAATCTTTATAGCACTATAAATCGCAACGATTAACAATGTCTACGTAACCTTTCTACCTCACACTTGCAAACTGGAAATTTATTTTACATCCCTTTATTTCATATTGTTTCTTCTAGAGAGCGAAGTGTGTATTTAGTGTGGGTACGAATAGTGTGAAAACTAATATTCTTTGCATTATTCTGTGTGATATTTATATGTTTCACAGTAACCTTGTATGTTTTCATTTATATAGTGTTTACTAACTAATCATCAAAAGTAGGTGAAATCGTTAAGTAAATTGAATGTATTTAGTTAAATCATGGACGACCTGTTTGAAGAGTCGATCTTTACTGCACTAGTCTTTCCTGTCCTTACTTTCTAACATGGTAATTACAATGGGTTTCCAATTATCAAATATAATCCGTAAAGTCGAGGACATAACAGAGGCAATGGTGAATATATCAGGACGTTTAAGAGAATAATCATTTTCCTTTAATGATTCACTTCAGTATTGTTTAATGTTATAATCATTAGAATTAACGAGGATGTGATTAATAACAAGTTTTTTAAACGAAAATTTAGGAATTATACTTCTTAGTAAGTGAAATCAAACGTACAACAGTTAATCTGTTAATCGATTTGATTCCTAAATTTATGTCAACAAATACAATTGTAAACTGTATGGTCTCGATTACAAATAAAAAGAATTCAGCAAAGAAATTTTTCGCTTCAACGAAATCATTTATTTAAGCTGTACATTCGTATTTATAGTTGTATGGTAAATATATGTCTATAGAAAGATAGAGAAGATTGGATCAAAAAGTGATTCCAGACTCTAATTATCAGACGAGGTTGCATAATAATGAGGAGGTTGGATAAGTTGACTTGCTCCTGTGGGGCAGGTTGCATTGGCCGCACAAAGCGATCACTTTCTAAACGTATCTCAGAACACTAACCGGTGTGGCTTTTAAAAGAATGCAAAAAGTTACCTGTTCAGTGTAGGAACATATCGCTCTGTAGGAATCTTTTTCTAAAATAATCTACACAACCAAAGGAATTGAATCGAAGGGAGGTTGGATCAAAAACGTATGCATTGGTAATCCATCAAGTCAAGACGCAACTCTGCGTGCAAAAACGATATATCCAACGACCTATCTTTCCTTTGCCCTCATTCCCTTCTGTAGTATGTTTTGGGTTGTTTTCTTTCTTTATTTTGTTTGCTGAAATAATTGTTCTGTAATCAGTTACTATTATCACTAAACAAGTTTTCCTGATTATTATTCAGTTTTTATTATTATGACCTTTATGTTTTCGTTTTTCTTCATATCTGTCAAGTGGACAATTATCTTCCATAATTCTCATCCGTAAATTATTTCCATCCTTATATTCTTCTCTAAACCCTTGATTAATTACGTAACCACATTTGATAATTAGAGTTTCGCATCACTTTTTGAAGCAATCTTTTCTATCTTTTTATAGACATATATTTACCATACAACTATAAATACGAATCTACAGCTTAAGTAAATGATTTCATTGAAAAGCAAACTTCCTTCGCTGAATTCTCTTCATTTTATTCAATGACACAATGTGTTATTTTAATTATTTGAAGTTTTGATTACGTTTCTATTTGACATACATAATAAGTTATTATCAGTATAGGGGTTGTGGAGATTGTTAAGTTTTTGATTGAGATCGTGAACCGATTGATGTTAGACCACCATAATTGAAAACCTGGAAGCACTGGACGGCCGTTTTGTCCTATTGTGGGACTCCTCGGCAGTGCGCATCCACGATCCCACTCGCGGGATCGAAAGCAAAAAGTTTGTTTTTAAAAAAAGGAAACAAACAAGTGAAAACAATAAAAGCTAAACAGTGATGTACTTGTTGTCAATCGAACAGCAATAATGTTGAATTAAATCCGATAAAGTAAACGATTTTTATTCATAAATTATGTGATTACATTACAGTCGGCAAAATAAAGAATTATGTATAAAAAGGTGAAGAATGAAAGAGAAATAGTAATGACAACAATAAGAATATATATATAGTTGTAAATTTGTGTAGACCAGATACCAATAAAAAAGCAATGTATATTAACACAATATTATAGTGGGAACCAGTGATGACGTAATTTACAATAGAAATTGTCTATTTAAAAATATATAACAAATATGGATATGTTTGTCGACAGGGTTACTAGCCAACGACGGCTTTCTTTCACCGGACGCATTATTAAATTTTGCGTAATTCATCCTCTAATGAATACATTTTTAATTTAAGACTTTTCAATTCATTCAATATTTGGTTAGATCGTGTTGTTGAAGCTTTAACTTGTTTTAATAGAGTCAAATCAATATCTTTATGATCGTTAATATTAGGTGATTCAGGTAAATTGATCCCATCGGTTAAACCAAGAGTTAACTAGAGAACAAAGATGATAGAGATTTAGTATTTAAAAAATCAAGAAAATAAACAGAATATCTAATGGGAAATTTTTATTTTAAAGGAGTTAACATTTTTAGAAACTCTAATAGACAGTTGATCGTGACTAATTACCATTGGAATCACTTTACAATTTACTGTAGGAATTATTAACATACTTAAATGTTCGTTGATTAACTTCAGATTTTTTTCATTTAATGAAATATTCAGTTGAAACAGTCTAAATCGCATCATATAATCTTTTTTTGAGTTGTACATTTCGTATTTAAGTAGAACCTACGTTAAATAGAATACATGCTCTAATTATTAACCAGTTTCCTATCAGTTAGCTTGTGGCTTTTTAAAATTATTTACAACTGAAAGTAAAGAAAATATAAACGGTTCAATTTTATGAATAATTATATCATTTTGATAAAGTCATTATCAATAGTTTAAGCTGTTAGACGATAAAGTAGAAGTTTATATGCTTTAAGCTGTATTCTACAGTAGTACACAATGTAGAAGATCATATTTTGAACAGCTTATACTACTGTCAATCATCATTGAGTTTTTTCAACTTAATTTAATTTGGCTTAAAATTTCATGCAAAACGATGTTGAATAGCTATGATTGTAAATCTTTATCGACTAGGGTGACTGAGAAATACGCTACACATCCATAAATATCTCCTAACCCAACATGAACTGGTGATGAATGTGCAAATAGATTGAAAAGAAAAAGTTAAAGGCGATCAAACCAAAATATATCATCAGCTTATTAACTGATTGACTATTGGTTTGAACTAGGTTAGTAAGTATAAATCATCTAGTTGAGATCTGTACAATAATCATGATCAGTGGTCGAAGAGCTAGAACACTATGATATAAGACTGACCTTTGAAATTAAGAATTTTAGTGCTATTTCATAATTTTATTCGATGGATTCATCCCTTTTTTTCAAAGTTGTTACCATAACTGTCAGTCATAGTTTTACTACATATAGCATCTCAGCCAGAAACATTACTGATACAACGAGATTAACTAAACTGTTTATACTGTTATTTTATTGTCATTTAACTGCTTAGCGGATGTGCAGTTATTCATAAACTAGACACTTCTAATTTCTCTGTCAGTTAATATTTAAGTTGAATATATACCAGGGTTAATAAAAACGGTATGTCTTTTTTATTCTCATTCATTCAACGAATTTAAAGGGAAAAATATTAACACTATGATGACTTGCGTTATTATCACAATTATTGTAAAAATGTACCTTTAATAGTTGTCGTTCAACCTCTTTTAATTTTTTACGCAACACACTAATATCTGTTCGGTAACCTTCCATTTCTAATTGACGTCTACGTTCTAAATTCTGATAACGTTGTGACATAACTTGAACACGTTCATGAAGTTTTTGTGCTTGATCTTTAAATACATCCTTTGACATGACACCTTCTTCACGTGCACGAACTAATTCCTCTTCTAATTGAATAACCTGAATACCAACAATACATGAAGGGATATGGCAGATTCAGATTACATAAAATATAAAACTAATATGAATGTTATATAAATTGACTAGTAGTTAGTAGTTAGAAAAATACACGTTTTACCATAAATTAGTCAATAAATAATCGGACAAAACAATCTCCGTGCTATAATTATCCTAAAAACTCTGTTTATAGGCCTACAATTTTAATCATTACTTTTACACGCTGATTTTCCATACTACAGGCACACAATAGATATTCTTTTCTTCCCAACAACTTTGGCTTTCAAGTCATATTATCTTTTAAAACTTTATTTCGTTTTATATGTTTCAATATCAATCAGCCATCATATTTACAGACCATCTATACAACAATATCATCTTTTGTTGAAGACAGTGATGGGTTTCTTAAAGATTTAGGTTTTTTACCATTTACTGAGGGCTACACGGAAGCCAGACAGAAGTATACTTAGGCACAGGCTCGACGAACCATCAGTGTTCGCTATCAGGGTCCCTGAGTTCGTATGAGCTTACGATCGTCAAACTAAAAACGACTCAAAAGAGTTCTCTACCTTTATAAATGAAAATAGACTAGTGAGGACTGATATAAGCACAGTTTAATATAATAAAAGGTTTTCTTATCAGAATTTGATTTGTCAGCTATAAAACACTATGTCAAACAGTTTCTGAACTTTTGATACATGATGAATAGATTTTACCAACTTACGAAAGGTAGTAGGCAGAGAATTATCCAACTTTGTACACAACAACTATAAACACAAAGAAATATTAGCATACAACCAGTAAGACCAAATGAATAGGAAGAATAAATCTCGTATGAGTGTACAGGACACAGTTGAACGAACCACATGCATAAACTTCAGTTGATCAATGTAATAAGTTCAACTGTGCATTAATTGACCTTTGAGCAGTGGAGTTAATGTCATGCTTGTCTGAACTTTAGTGCTGGTCGAATCTTATCGAAAAAGTCCTAAATATAGCCAATAGTCCAAGTAACTCAACATGACGTTGACTATGCTTTGACGTTAAGTGGTCAAAATTAGTGCATATAAAAACCCAGGTTTCATGTTAGTTATTACTCATCAGTAAGGTGTAAACCTGTAACCTTGATAGAACTGATGTTCCCTGATAAATTCGAACTTACATTATCCCGTTTCACAGTCTAAGGTATCACCACTAAAATACTCAGGCCACAATCAACCTCCTATATGACTAAAATGTTCACAATAGATTGACCATTCAGTAGTCATATTTGTCTAGTCAATAATGTTTATTGGATTATATCGGACTACTTCCAGTCATTTTAAATATTAAAAACATGAAACTGTTTCTTATCACAGCGTTTCACACACACATCAAAGAGTACTCTAAAACGAACAACCTTATCAAAATAGTTAATGATAAATGGATACAACAGATCAATTTATTCACTTACTTGATCTCTATACATATCTGATAATTTCTGTAGTTGATCTAATTGATGCTCTAAATTGTCGATTGTTTTCTCTAATTGAATTTGTTTTTGTTGATTGAATTCAATCCATGCATGAGCTTCTAAACTTTGAATATTATTAAATAAATTAGTAGTATTGATAGTTGTTAGAGTATTGTTTATTTTGTCTCGAGGTGAATAACAAGTATTACGTTCACCAGTTTTTAAAGTAGCTTTAATATTGAAGCAGATAGAAAGGGAAAAACAAACAAAAACCAAATAAACTAATTAGCTTATCTTCAAATAGGAAATAAGAAAATAATAGATTTTTATTAAGTATAATGAACTGTTCAAACTTTTACATCATTAATTTTATACCAAACAGGTATTTATTGTCATAGATTTTTCTGTACTTATGCGCTTCCAGATAATATTTATAAATATATTGAATATAAATTGCTGAAAAACGTAAGAAGTATCACCATGATAGTTTGTATACTCCTCTTCAACTTTCCTCTGTTCCCTGAGGGTACAAGAAGCAATCAATATAGAATTCATAAATCAAATATATTAGGCAATGAAAAGAGTAAAGCTAATCATATGGATTTACGGGTGAACATCAATGGGTGCTAACCAATGCTTAAAGACTTGTTACACAGATTTTTCGGATATTCACTAGTCAAACAGTTATAAAACCGGAATTTTGTTGTAATATTACACATTTTCTGTTGGGAATTCTTTAAAGTCGCCAAATATATAGCACTGAATAAGGCGATTATTATTATTATTATTATTATTATTGTCATTATTATTAAATAAAACTGAGCTTTCCTGTTACATTTAAAAAAGTGAGATATATTTTACAGTTAGTTCTCACCATAAATTGACATCAGTTGAAGGACTAGTTAAAATTAGGGATCATTAATGATTGTTTTGACTTAGTCACGGATTTTGACACTTCTGTTTTTTGAAGTGGATCGTCTAGTCCTGGAGTTCTTATTGTTCTTCTGAGCAATATCAGGACAAACTTAAGGTGGAAGTGAAATAATTGAATTTCTCTACATATGACTAACAGCTTATCCTGTCAACAGAAGAAAACTGGAGACTGAAGTACATCGGAAGTCAACCCACAAAGATGAAATTCCTAAACACGACAGGAAAAACCCAAGAATTCACAAAATCAAACGTGTAAAAACTCTATTCAGAAGGGCGAGAACACCCTGAAACACACTTAGAGAGGGGGAAAATGAAGAAAAAAATATAATGGCTACTCTTCAAAAGAACGACCACCCATTCAACGTCATCAAGAAAAATCGACCTAGCTCATCAGCAGAAACAAAACCAAGTTCAGAAAACAATAAACTGATCATCCTACCATATATATAAAAGACATCAGAAATTACGAAATTATCGAAACCATTCGGAATATAGGTAGCACACAAACCAGCATAATCACTTCAACCAATCCTATGAAAACCAAAGGACGAAATGACAGAAGATAAAAAACCGAACATCGCCTGCAAAATAAACTATTCCAATCGAGAAAAACTCTACGTCGGACAAAGGAGAGGCCTCCTTCATCTTTGACCACATGAACATCAATTAGCGGTCAAATGTCATGACATATCCTCGCTTGTATGAATGCATGTGGAAAACTGTGGACACGCATTCGACTGGAAAAATGTTGAGATCTTTGATAGAGCGAATACTAAAAGCACTAGGGAATTTTTAAAAGCATAGTACCCACGTCAACCAGTAATTAACAAACACGTCGAAATCGATCGCATCCATCAACCATTCGGAATAATCATAGACAAATATAGGACCAAGAATCGAATCAAAGTGAGATACAATCAAAACAGAGGTAGACAATGGCAGGTTAGAGGTCAATAATAACCAATCAAGGTCGTGGTCAATAAGACAAGCTGTGAGTCATATGTAGAGAAATTCATATACATTACTTCTACCTTAAGTTTGTCCTGATATTGTTCAGAAGAACAACGAGGGCTCTACGACCAAAGCATCCACACTAGAGGACGAAACTTCGTCAAAATCATCCACCTCAGCTACAAATCTCTACTACCTCATATTCAGGGATTCTCCAACAACGTCCATGCCAATGACCTTCAACATGATATTAGGACACTGAATTCCAAATCAACGGTCTAAAGTTGTAGTAGCCGCTGTGAAACCTAAAATGCCTGAATTGCATCACAGATCGAGCTGAAAACAGAAATCAAAATACTACATAAACCCCGAAACAATTTTTCGAAAGAAAAATAACCGTATTAGCACAGGTCTAATGTTATCAATATGTCACTGAACAGATGGCTAATTAGTGTACTAGATCAAAACCTCACTACACAAATTAAGAGGGAGAAAATGAATCACTAGTTAATTAGAGAAACAAGGATGATTTTTAAGGATTGCATAACAAAATATCTATGATATGCGTAATGGCATTGGTTTACATTATCTTTGTATCGTGTGATAAGCAGAAAAGTTTTCAAGAGGTTAGGATATAACTATATAGTAAAAATTAATTATATCACTGAAAGTATTCTTTGTATGTCACATCTAACTACATTTATCGATTTAGATGCATACGAAGTAGAAAGTTAGTACAACAGGTTTCCACTAGCTTGAACTAGCACTGTAAAAACATTTTGCTATAAATAGTCAAATATTAAAATGATCTAACTCCTTACCATTTGCTGATAAAGTAATTAATTGACTCAACTAAGACTTACAAGCAAAACGTCCAAGGCACTTGAGAGATTACAATTTGTTCAAATGATTCGTGATTACGGGTTCTGTCTTATCGTTGAGTTACTTGGTAGTTAATCATGTCACGATCTTAATCAATGGAATTACGTCAGCACTGAAGATCAAGCAAAATAAACCATTTACCTGTCAATAAAGTAGCAGTGGTAAACTGTATATCTCCTAGCACGCAGACTTACGAATTTTCTTCCTGAAGTTCACAACAACAAAAAAGATCTTAGTTAAACAGACTATGAATTCCAGACAGCTCTCGTCCTATGGGGAAACTCATTAGCAACAACGAACATTACAACTCCACCAGAGACCAAACCCTGGACCTCCAATTTTCGTGACGAGTGTTTAACCTTTTCAACGATTGTCTAACTCAGGTTATTTTTTGATTTAAGCTATAAAATTCAGAAATCTCCACGAGCTTCTTACACTGATAATCAATGGGTTAAAAATTTATCAACATTTAACATAAACAGGAAGATAAATTTCAATGAAAAGTATCATGATTTAATACTTAATAACCTACACAGTGTTGATGGAGTAACACTAGAAGTCAATTTTTTAACACTGATTTGACTTAAAAGTTTATCTTTTTCCAATATCCAAACCTTTTCAGCTTGACGAAATTGATTTCTTTGTGCTAGAAATTCCTTAGTGCTGTCATATAATAATCCTTGACAGTGTCTAAGCCTAGTTAAAAACAGTAGGAAAAGATTAATTTATAATGGGGAATAAAAATTGTGAACAATAGGAATGACAAATCGTTGAAACAAGCACATAAAAATTTTCTCTATAGAATCTATACAAATGACTGGTATTATATTAACATGCATAATCAGTCCGATGTATTGGGTAATTTCTGTGAAATCCATGTAATAGGGGGTACCAATGAAATATGGCATAAACACAACAAAAAACCACTTTAGAATCAGTAAATAGACTATTCAAAATACTACGGGGAACTTAGATATTATAATCAGAATACTGAATTTACTAGTATATGGGTTTTTTTAAAGGTTGGTAATTCTTCCATGATAATGAAAACTATCAGGAATTAGTGTCAAGATGATGAATCGAAATGAGTGAAAGGTATTCTGTATGTTCAAAACAACATAGTTATGGGGGAGGGTGGCGAACCGTCTTATCTTCAGATTTTGTCAATCAGGTCAGTATTGATGTGTTTTGACTCTAAACTACTGTTTCGAATTTTACAAGTCAATATGTATTGCAAGTAAATTATTTATCGAATACAATTCATGTATTTTACTTTCAGTCAAACTTCTTGTGTGAAATTTAATAAAACTATCCGGCTATCTAAATACTGAGGTTGTTATGTCTTGAGACCCTGATCGACTTCACGTGCAGTAGTCACGAATCAGAATTCTGATTAGAATTTATTCTATTCGGCGTCTACTATTTCCTAGACTTCACTAATTATACGTCTGACCTGCATCATTAACTGTGAGCCGATGTAGACTAGGTAAGATGGTGGTTGGAAGTAGTCAACAGGCTAAGCTCCTACTTGTCTGATGTCCGTTAACTTTTCTCTATTTCTTGTCTTGCTTTAAAAGAGAAGTTTGCAGCCAACTTCTATTGTACTCAATTCAACTATGGCTCGAAATTCAGACAATAATACAGAGCAAAATCTTGGACGCATGTCAACATAATTAAGAAATTACAATAATGACATAACTACACAACAAGTGAAGAAGAACTGAGTAATAGGTTCTTAATAGATGAATAACAACTTAAGATAGGTAAAGCATAAAACAATAGTTTATGAGTCAAACAAAAGGCTTTAAAACGTAGGAATACAAAAATACAACTTAAGTATGTAATGATTTAAGAACAAAAATACAGGTAGGATATTTCCGAAAGTTCAACTTTTCTAATACTCGTTCTGTGAAGCTTGAATCTATGACCTACCAGTTGAAAGATGAGTGTTTCGATAATTAAGTCACCATTTCATAAATTAACTACAGATAGTTAAGATCATATGCTCATTGGTGACTAGCTTCAAGATGGATTTCCTGGAGATCTAATGGGAAGTCGTGGCTAGTGAAGTTCAATCCGTGTAGGGTGGACACAGTATTCCACTTCAGACAATGGATGAAGTGTTGCGCAAGATCGTGGTTTAGTTTAATTTGGACAGTAACACTAGAGGATGCCGACTCAATGGTATGGGGGTTAGTTATTCACGTGTAAGACCGAAGGTCCTTGGTTCGAGTCCCACATGTGGGATCGTGGATGCGCACTGCTGAGGAGTCCCATACTAGGACGTAAGGGTCGTCCAGTGCTTTCAGATTCTCAGTAGCGGCCTAGCCTAGATCAACTATTAAAATTACTACAATCTTCACAAATCATCATTCTGGTAATAATCGTAAATTAACTAGTGTCATATTGGTTGGTAGATTTTTTTCCGTCCATCTACATTAAATTGGTTATTTTTGTACTTCCCTATGTTGAAAGTTGATAGTTTTTTGGGTCTGTCACCTTGAAAGTGAGTTCTAACCTCAGCTAATTGATACCTATTATAGAACCATTTGTTATTATTATATATTCACATCTAAATATCGCGAGAAGCCGAGACAGTCTTCTGACTTTAATGGACCTCTGGTACGTTATTCCAGTGAATTTAACAGCTACCCAATCTCTCTAATTGGAGTAAATGAACTAGGATTTGTAACCTGAAACTTAATGGTCAAGAATTTATTATTTTAACACTATGTAGAATCTATTTAGTTTCAGACATATTCGTCTGGGCCATGACTGATTACTGAGTGAAGATAAGCATGCACACGCCAAAATTAATAACATAAATAACCGTTATTATATTGTAAATTAATTTTACTCTTGGTTTCATAATGTTGACTGTTTGTATTTGTCTTAATAAAACCACTATTCGGTCTATAATTTAATTCGTAATTTTTGGTCGGAATTGTGTATCACGTGATCTGATCTAGTGATCTAGTTATCAGGTATATTATCTAGTATCGTGATCTAGTATGGCCACATTATTATCAGGTGTAGTGTTATTGTATTATGGCACTACATATCAGAGGGTGAAACCCTTTATTTTTTAGCAGTATATCAGTTATAAATCAACTTCATTATTTAGAATAAAACATACTGTTCTGATGAAATGCGTATTTTTTCCTCGTGACGTTTACGTAAACTGTTCATCTCTTCCTGTATTGCTTTACGATCTTCCATTAATGAATCAATTTGTTCACGAGCATTGCGTGTTTGTTCTTCCAATTGGGTTTGTAATGCTCTTAGAGAAGATTTTGACATTTCAAGTTCTCTTAGCACAGCTTCATGTTCTATTCGAGAAACTGTATCTGATTTAGACGATTCTGATGGATCAGAACAAACTTTATGGTCCGATTTAATTTGACCTGATATTGTATGGGTTTTTTTCCAGGATGATCCATATGAAAATATGAGGGAAAAAACAAGATGCACAAATGTGAAAGAAATTAATCACAACAGTAGTATAGCATACATAAAACAACACTAAAATAAATCTATCACTAAAAAGATTTTCCGGAATTGATATCTAACAATCTTATTCGGTAGCGAATAAAACTGTCAACTTATGTATTGGTAAACTTAGACACCTAGATAAGTCATAGCTAGTTCCAAACGAAGACTTTGGTATAATAGAAAAACGCCGAGAACATTCTTATTCAACAGATTGAGATAGTTATTTTGAAATAAGGAAAATATCATTTGCATTTCAAAACCATAGGTATACTATGGAAAATTTTGTCTTCATAAGAATGACTTTAATGAATTTTTAATATGTCTCAGTTGGAAAGTTGAATAGCTGAACACATTTGAAGTCGGTTTTGAAACAAACCTACTTAGATGTAGTAAAAGCAAACTTTCTAAAATTCACAATAAGCTCGGAAGTATAACAATACTAAGAGGAGTTAGAAGGAAAAGTTAAGTCTCTAACAGCTATGTTTCAAGATATTTCTCAGCATGGAATAAAGACAATCTTCAGGGAGCTAGTAGAGACCGACAGAAGCCTATCGCCACCATGGACTAGATAAACATGACATTGGTGACTATTAGGCGATCAATTATTTTAAATATCTCAAGTTTATGATAGAGCAGATAGGTTAGCGCAGTGGTAAAGGGTTTGAATGCAACAGCGAAGGGTGATGAAAGGTTCAAATGTTAGAAAGACTATAAGTCCCCTCAAGATTGCAGATACACTCTACTAGGGACTACCAACTAGCACAAAACCTGTGTCCAAGGATTTGTATCCACCGACTCCAGTAGCTGGAAATCAAAAAAGGGCATGATGGATGCGAGTTACCTTTGCTGGTAATTAAATTGCAATTTGATTGAGAATAAGTAACATCTACATTGTTTATTATTTGATAAACTAGTGTAAAATTATGGAAAAATTCTCCAATCATCATTGCCATTTAAGCTGACTTTTCAGCTTTTATGAATGTGTGTACAAAGAGAAACAACATACATACTTCCGCTTGGTTTTAAAATTGTTTTTCCTGATGCAGTAAATTCCATAACACCCTGAGAAGGAGCTGTTGGAATGATCGGTTTAACAGCCATAGCTGAAATCCATGCTGTGTTTCTGTCCGCTTTTCTATTCTCGCCATCAATGAAATGTTCACCATTTTCATTATCAACTGTTTCTTGATTAACTACATTTTGTGATTCAATGTTAGGCTGTTTTAAAAAATAAGTGATTTCATTTGGTCCTAAATTGGATAATTGTAATAAATGTTGTATTTTACGTCGATCATCTAACTCACGAATCTTTAAACGGTCATTTTCGGCATACAAACGTAAAACATGTTCGCGTTCTTGAAAAAGATAAACCTGTTTACAGTAGGTACATGAATAAAAAGTGTTAAATGATAAACTGTTCCGAAATTCAAATAATGAAGTTAAATGTATGTTACAATGAAGTTAGATTTAGTAAAGCTTAGTTTCTTCAATAAAACTATGTAACAGAATCACTAGGCCTTTAAATATGTAAACAGAAACCAGAAGTATGAGCAAGTAGTCATTAAGATCTATCAGTTATGTTGAACGACTAAATACTTTATTGTACTATCAAATAATCTCCCAAACTTTTGAACGAGTTACTTTGCCAGCATTAAAGCGTGAAGATGGAAAACACAAAAATGAGAATTCTCGTTGTATATAATTTAGAAGACAGAGTTAATGTTTTAATGTCTGTTAGCGGGACATAGACTAGATTAAAGCATGCTCAATGCATGATTGCTTTGGTGCACGCTGATTGGCTAATTCTTATCCAATCAGCACTGGTCGATAGTTGGAGAAGACTCTAGAATCTTCTTATGTAAAAACTATAAATATACTGACGTTTTCCCTATTGTGCTTCCTACTGGCTTCTGACTTGCTATTCGGAATATAATCTTTTTCCTGTTCAACCGTGTTCTGATTTGGGGACTTGTTGAGTGAATCGGTGTCCGAGAATACTAAGCAACAGGAATAGCTGGATCTAACCCGTAAGAAAACAGGATTATAACAGTGGCGACGGGGAAAAACTAAAGAAAAATGGCGATTTCTTTAGAACAGTTGCGGTTAATATTACAGCACCAGCAGAAGTTGTTAGCCTTGCAACAACAACTATTGAACACACTTTTCACTCGACCAGAAAATAAGAAATCTGTTTATGATGCAGTAACAGACATTTCAGAAGCATATCTAGTGGAGGGTTCAAATCCCTTTATACCTGAATCAGAACGTAATATTTGTAACGTTCCCGGCTCACAGCAAGAAAATCCTGTGCTGAATGCTCATAAAGTTGTGGCAATACGAGATTATCAAGAGTCAGACCCTGTAGATGAAGCCCGGAGTTCAGAATTGAATGAAGCACTACTGGTCCTGTCTAGCTCTGAAAATAACTTTCAGCTAGAACAAATTTATGGTCCACGTGATATAAGCCAAGAAAGCTATGGGGACTCGTATTCAGAAAATAACTGCAGTGACACAACGAACCCAATTATACCGAATGTTACTCAAAATCATTGTGAGACAGAAACTTATATTGAATCAGCTTATCCGATTTCTAATGACAATGTATCAGACATGGGTTCTCAGAACAATGCATGTTATTTTGATGAAATTTCTCATAAAAATCAGGAAAATATATCAGCTGAGTCAAATTATGGTCAAAAGTCTAATTTAATTTTGTTAGATGATGATTTCCGTAATGATCCATTATCCACTGATGAAATTCCTAATGGATTTGAAAGTAATGCTTCAGAAGAATTAAACTTTGACCTCAAATCAAAGGTCGTTCATTATCATCTAGTCGTTTCTAGTGGATCCGACATTCAATGCGAGAAACGTCGTTTAAATAAAGTCCTATTATTTGTAACTTGGAGATATAAGGATCCGACATTGTTTCGCGGAGGAGGAGAATGTTGGAGAATTAAAAGTTATGCATACTTTTTTTTAAGAAAAATCAAAACGCCGGGAACAGACATGTCAGTCTCTGTGCAAAGAAAAAGTGATAATTCTTCATTGCCTAGACGATGGACTAATCGAAAGCACAAGCCAGTCACTCAGTCGCAGTTGGACCCTAGCACCAGATCCTACGAATCTGCTCAGAGGGGAGGTGTTAGCGGGACATAGACTAGATTAAAGCATGCTCAATGCATGATTGCTTTGGTGCACGCTGATTGGCTAATTCTTATCCAATCAGCACTGGTCGATAGTTGGAGAAGACTCTAGAATCTTCTTATGTAAAAACTATAAATATACTGACGTTTTCCCTATTGTGCTTCCTACTGGCTTCTGACTTACTATTCGGAATATAATCTTTTTCCTGTTCAACCGTGTTCTGATTTGGGGACTTGTTGAGTGAATCGGTGTCCGAGAATACTAAGCAACAGGAATAGCTGGGTCATTAACCGTAAGAAGAAAGAGAGAATTATAACAATGTCCATCCACGATCATATAGAAATAATCACTTGACTGGACTAATTACTACTTGACAATTCGTAAGTTTTCTTTTTTAGCCAATTTAATTGATCTAACAAATAATTAGGTGATTCGTAGCTATTTATAAATTGAGTAAATACTGAAGTGAAGCAAATTGAATGATAAAGATCTCAATATCATTAGTCGTAAAGATTGGATAAGTTAGCATCTATCTGGAATCAGTAGCTTGGTGAATAATGAGCTGGTATTTCAAGTGAAAGGCACTGGGTCCGAGTCTCTATGTGAAGGTCGAAGTTAGGATACAAGTACACCCATATGGCGAGTCCCAAACGGTACGAAATAGTAGTCCTGAATTCCATTGGTAGCCACGATCTGTCTAACCTAAACGTTTAAGTGACAATTTACCTTGGAGTATATTATAATCTGTAATATTATCAAACACACAAATTTCATGATTTACAGAACACGTCAAATTCTGTTGGCATATAAACAGACAACAAAATAAAAGGGAAAATAAAGTCACATAAGTGAATAATGAAATGATGGCTACCCGTATGATAAAGAATGAAAACGATTCACATCAGTTATCATAGACTTAAAGGGATATGGATTAAAAATGGTAATTGGTATTATTTCTTACTACGGTATAAGTGATGGGTATTAACTTCCTGGAACTTCTATTTAAAATTGGTTTTATTTCCTAAGTCACTGATTTTCAAATTGTTACAAATATTAGGATAATATCAGTTTTTTCTGGTTCCCGTTTTTAACTTCTTTACTGTGACAACTTGTAACGATACATTGAAATACTATGGTACATGTTTCTAACGACCAATTATAATATTTTGGAATAAGACAAGAATGTTTGATAACAGAAAAAACTCGGGTGTATAACATATTAACATTAATTTAGTTACTATCTTAGATTAGATCAGTATTATTATGCTTTTATTATTATGTAGATTTATTACGCTTATCATCATTATTTTAAAATCTTCAAGAGCTACACTATGTAAAAACGTCAAACAACAATAACAACTGAAAATAACGAGATGAATTGTAAAAATCTAAGCAATTAAAACTAAATAGCTCTAACGTTTCACTTGTCAGTTTACTTCAGTCTTCTTCATGTAAATAATTAACATTAAAATTATCAAAGATAAATAAAGTCAAAAACAATTTTGTGCTAGGCCCTTGGTCTGATCATGTTTTGTAAAAATTGGTTTTGTTTCCATTGAAAATTTGGGTGAAACGATAATTTATGGACAACCTTTGAGAGATAGTTAAGTAATCTTGATAACATCCACCTAGTAGGGTTAAATGAAGTTTCAAAATTGGAGTGAGGAACAAAGATTTGGATTGACTGTCGGACGTTAGGGTAAGAAATCAAAATTAAGGCTTTCATTATGAGCCGACATCAGCTATAATGCCAAACCGCTATTTAGAGATATAAATGAATTTCACGCCCAAGTCCAAGACCTGATACCTTAAATCTGATTGGTTCGTCCATATATTACAGTCTTGCAACGATTTGAGTCATTTCATGTACAAAAATATTCAAAATACTACATAGGATTATAAGTTTATTGTATGTATTTTAAAGTTAAGATTCAGTGAACAAGTCAAACAATCTGATGGCTAGTGTTGGATTAATCCTTCTGTTTACCATAAAACTATAAAAAATATCTGAGTAATTTGAACTAGTCAAAGTATATGTTGATAGAAAATAATTGGATTGTGTATCGTAATGTTAATTAGGAGGAACTATAAATTACATCAACGACCTTGAACGAATCCTTAGCCAGTCAACTATAAAACAGTATTTATTCACAATAAAATCTATCATATAAAAGTAAGTAGATAAACACTTTTAATATGATTGATTATTTTTCTTTCCACATTATACTGAACACAATTTACCTGCATATCAGATAATGCTCTTTGTAATTCTGAAATTTCAGCATCACGTTGATTTAATTCTAAACTAAGTGATTCTTGATTTCCTATAGCATCATAAATTTTATCTAAACGACGTTGAACAGTTTCATGATCTTCAGTTAATGTTTCCACTTTATGACGATAATATGATAATAATTCTTTTGTAGAATCATCTAATTGATTAAGACGATTATCAAGTATATCATTTGATTTTGATGTTACCGGTGTTTCTTTTAATTTAGATGAAAATACTGTTGAATGGTTATTGGGAATAAAATTGGTGTGATTTTTAGATTGTATAGAATCTTTAGTTAATGATGACTTCTGTGATTTACCTCTACTGAAATTTTTAAAAAGGATATATAATAATAATAAAACAAATCACTTTAATATTTTATCATACATAAACCGTCTGACAATAGATACGACTAAATTATTCTTATGAAACCTAAAGTATATTAATTAGAGTCAGAAATAGTCGAACAAAATTTATCGTCAGATAAACAATGAAAATCACTACCCTCGTATAAATCTACACATTGCTATTGGATTCACGCTTGTTATGATGAATAGAAACACTTCTAGGTTGTTTATATTGACGTAGTTAAAATGGAATTTACATCTACAACAAAAAAGTGACAAGTCAAACGACTGAACTATTAAACTACACATTCACTGCTAAGCATTAACTACTGAGAAAATCACACCTGTTGTTAAATGATAATACAATATTCAAATCATGGTTAGATTTAAACTGTTTTTGATGTAGTGGCTTTTAAACTTTTCAAAACTCAGCATAACTTATAATATAATATAAGGTAAACAATAAGTCCATTACACAGATAAATGTTTTGCAATCCTAAGGAAAATTCATAGCACTTATTCGAATCGCAATTATATTGAGATGCCTTTATGCAGCTTATATCCAAATATTTTATGTCACTGGCCTGTGTACTTGTAGGATTCTGATCCAACGATCAAGTGAAACGTGAAACCTCAAAACCAAAATATTGGTTTTAGCTGGAAAGCTGTACAATTAATGTAGACAATATAAGGAATAGTCAGTCAGTCAGTAACAACGTAGAACTTCGTACGTACGTACATCAGTTCGAGTTGCCATACCACATTAGCACAGAGATGCAGTTGTCGATTCAAATCCCGTAGTGGTAGAGGTAATAAGACTATAAGCAGTAATCGGGAAGATTAGGGTTTGGAGATGTTATTTAAAGAGTATAATCCAGTGAAAGAAATTTGGAAAGAGAACAAGTAAAGGGACATGAAGAATTCAGAAGATTATAATTTGGGAGAACACAGAGAGTGGATGCACCTGCGCCATTGCAAACGATTTTGAGCCATGTCATTCAAGGTCTCTAACCATCGGTTGCTGTCATCTCGCGGTCCCCAACCAGGTAGTCTACACCTACCAACATGACTCAGTTCACTTGTCAGTGACTTCATGGACTTGTGCCATGTTTTGGTCTGGCCGCCCCTAGCTTTCTTCCAACCTACTCCTATACCACTGAACATAGCACGTCGAGGCAGTCGGTCGTTGGGCATACGTAACACGTGTCCCAGCCATCTCAAATGATGAAGTTTCACTACGTCATCAATTGATTTGCCATCCTTACCTAGTACCCGTTTCTTAACAACTGTGTTACTTACTCGATGGTCCCAGGATATACGAGCAATGTTTCGAAGACACCTATGATCGAATACTAGTAACCTACGGATATCCTCTATTCTTACCGGCCATGTTTCACTGCCATAAAGTAGGACGGAACGAACTGCTGCGCAGTAAACACGTCCTTTGGTTGATAGACGGATATCTCGCCTACGCCATAAATGACGCAAGTTGGAAAAAGCTAGTCGAGCCTTCTGTATCCGTGCTGAGATTTCGTCACACACTAAACCACAAGGGTTGATGAGACTTCCAAGATAAGTGAAGCGGTCGACACACTCAACTACTTCACTCCCTATCACTAGTTCGGGTGTCGATGTAACCCAATCCTGAAGCAACATTTTGCATTTCGAGGTGGAGAATCGCATCCCGAACATGCTTGCATTGTTGCTTAGAGTGGTCAGAAGACTCTGCATTTTGTCAGCATCTTCACCAAATAAAACTATGTCATCAGCATATTCTTAGTCAACAAGTGAACCTCCCGGTAGAAGTTCAACCCCTGGAAATCTAGACGAGGAAAGTGTTATCTCTAAAAGTACGTCAATGACAAAGTTGAACAAGAATGGGGGGAGTGGACAGCCCTGACAAACACCACTTCAGGTAATCAATTCTGATGACAGTTCGCCATAAGCTCTCACTCGACCAGTTGTGTTCGAGTAGAGAGCCTTTATAAGGTTAATTTACTTCTTTGGTACTTTTTTCAGTGACAAACACTGCCATAGAACCTCACGATCAACAGAGTCGAATGCCACCTTAAAGTCGAGAAATACTACCATTGTGGGGCGTCTGAATGTGTGTCTGTGTTCTAGAACCTGACGTAGTGTGAATATCTGATCTATACAACCACGTCCCGGTCGAAAACCAGCCTGGTTTTCTCTAATCTGCTCTTCACGAATTTAGTTAGGCGTCGAAGTATTATTGAAGCTAATATTTTAGACACTATATTAGTCAGACTGATTCCTCTGTGATTGTCACAAGAGGACTTTTGTCCTTTCTTAAAAACTGGCACAATCAGTGATTGAGACCAGTCAGATGGGATTACGTCCAGTTCCCAAATTCTACCTAAGACCTCAGTTAATCTCACTGCTAATAATGAACCACCATCCTTAAAAATCTCAGGAGTAAACTTGTCAGGGCCTGCTGCTCTCCCTCGTTTCAGATTTCCTATGGCTTTTTCAACTTCGTAAAGAGTCGGAGGACCTACATTAACTTGCTATTCAGGTTGACTGGAGATCGTGAGAAACCGAAGTGTGGCTGAAGGCCAGCTGAACTGGTGCCTAAAGTGTTCTGCCCATCGATCCAATCTCCTGGATTGAGAATGAATAATATGTCCATCTTTCTCTGAGATTGTTTCGCTAATGGTCGGGTTCCTAATTCCGGTTTCCCTAACGATTCTCAACAATCGTCTGCTATTACCTATTGCCGCTGCCTTTTCCATCTCTCTTGCTTTCGCTGCCCACCACTGTTCACGATCATTGCGTAGACTTCTTGTCAGCTTGCGCTTAAGCTGACTCTGCTCTTCGTTATGTTCAGATCCAGATGGAATGAGTTTCCGAGCATCTATCAGTGCGATAGATGCTGCTGAGATCCAGTGTTTCTCCCTAACCTTGTGGTTTACCTTACTGGCAGATATCACTGCTGTTTCCACAGCTTTTCGGATATCGTTCCATGCTGCCTCGGGGTGGGCATCACCTACATGGCTGCCTAACTTTACCTATTTGTTCCCGAAATATACTCCTAGTTTGGCTATCATTAAACAGGACCCTAAGAGGTTTCCTTGCAGCGTCTTTCCTACGTCCAGTAAGACGCAGGCAAATACGCGCTCGCACTAGAGCATGATCTGAATCTAAGCATGTGCTCCAGAATGAGCGACAGTCTTCTGTCGAGCCCCTCCATCGGTGGCTGATAGCGATGTGATCTATTTGGGTCCAACGTTGGGTCGAATTAGGGGGTCGCCATGTTAAAAGATGTTTTTCCTTATGCTTAAAGTTAGTGTTTGCAAGGAACAAGCGGTTATCTGAGCATAGCTGCAACAGACGGTCGCCATTATCTGTTCTTTGAGCCACGACACCATAAGATCCACCTAGGTGTCTTTCCCTATCGTTTAGTTTACCTACTTGAGCATTAAAGTCACCGGCCACTATTACTACATCAGAGCGCCTAGCTTTTCGGAGAAGGTCCGAAAGCTTTCTGTAAAACTCATCTTTTACATCATCTGAGCTGCAGTCAGTGTGAGAATAGGCAGAGACGACGAAGAGGCAACGACGAGTGTCCCTATCTTTCCGGATTCTTACTGTTCCGTTCAGTCGGACAGCGCACAAACGACTGTCTACTGGGATCCACTCTAAGAGAGCTAGTTCTGCCCTAGGACTCAATGCTATACCTACACCGGCGAGGCCACGGGAAGCAGAATCAGGGCTTACAGATACAAGAAGTGTGAATCGAGTTGGTTCTTTATTTTGGCATGGTGAGGTCAAATGAATGACGCTACTCGGATCCTGTATGCGCGTTTCGGAGACGCAGCACACATCGATGGCGCGAGATTCTAAAGTCCTAGCTAAGGAAGCCTGCTGTCCTATTTGGCACAGTGTTCGTACGTTAAAAGCTCCTACGTGTAGTTTAGAGCGTGGTTTCAGGAGACCAGGAATAGCGTTCTGCGTACTCGAATCGTTTGCCCTAGCGGTGTGAGGTGAAAAAAAAACGTGAGAAGGGTTAGTCGGGGAGATAAGAGAGGTACTAGGAGGTGTAGGAAGGATTTGAATGTGACCAACTTGGTCTCGTGTGCTGTTACGGGTATGAGGGCTGATATCACTTCCCGGCTGCCCACACCGTGGGAGGGTATTTTTTGAGGAGCCTGAAAAAGAAGTCGGATTAATGTCGGCCTTTACGGCCTGAGAACATGACCGCAGAGCCCAAGGGACAACTGCTTGAGGCCGGTCGCGCACAGCCTTTTCGTGGAAGGTTCTTGACGTGTTAGCTCTGTTCTTTAAAGGGCCTTACAGCCGGAGACGGAAATCCTTGAGGTAAGGTGAGGTGTGACATTTTTAGGGCCGACATTTTCTAACCCCTTCCTTCCTCGTGAGAGGGCAGTATCGCTGTAGATGCTGGTTGTCCGAGGGAAACACCTTACTTCTGTCACACCCCTCTACAGTCAGCAGTACGACTTCGCCCTCAGACTTTGATTTGCTGATTTTAGTCTTACCGTTCTCCAATCGACCTGCCTGGCATGGTAGAACCTACAGGAACAGATATTCCAACCAATATAGCTCGTTTGGGTCATCACGATAGGCAAGCCCGACCACCGCGTCAAGGTAGCAGCTACGGTCGGATATAAGGAATAAAGGTTTAGAGACCTCAAACATTGTGGTACCTTATAATCTGTTGCTCTGCCAAAGTATCGTGAAACAGAAATCACACCCCTTTGAAGGGAGTAGATAAGAGATTTATGATATGTGAAAACATTTACTGGTAACAAGCAAAGGATCAATCAGAAGCCATAATTCTGAAGGATGCAAGCCTTTTAAGGCAAACAAAGCTTCGAGTGGTGGTGTAGACGGTAGGGAATCGAAAAATAACTGTTATCTGGGAGTACAAACAAGTCAATCTATAGAAATAATAGTGTGTATGGAATCAACGATTCAGTGATTTTTGAAATTTAGTCGAACGAAAATAAGCTACTGAATATTGTAAAGTAGTATGGTGTATTATATGAAAAAGATGTGTGGAAGAAGTGCAGAGGTCTAATACACGAAATGTATTAATTTTCATTTAACTTTAATTATATTTAACGAAACTAGAATTGCCTGTTTGAATGTCGGGTCTTAAACCAAGCTTCAGTCGCTGAAATCATTTCAAAAATAATTTTATATTTAATATCTATATATTTGAAACCGGATTTCTGTTAAGCCATTCCTACAAATTTTGATGAATGTTCATATAAAACATAAAATAGAAAAATATATTAATAATTATCTGATAAACACAAAATACATAATCTCTCATGCTTGCAAAAAATACTGGACAGGATTCAACACCATGGAGACATATTATTCAGCAGTTCAACTACATTGAGCGATATAATGCGTGAAGAAAATATATTATAAAATGAAAAACTTATATTTCAGAATAAATTTAACATACATTTGGAATACTACTTATAAGTATAAAAGAAACCGTTACCTTAAGTTATTGGGTAGTTGTGGTTTGTTTTCATTTCTAAGCGTAACTGGAGACATTACTTGTAAACAACCATTCAAATCCAACAAAATATTATAGATCCTTTTAAAAAGTTTAAAAGAAAACTTATTCGTGTCTGTATTTGAATTAGTAACCAAATAAAAATCATAAGAAATGATAAGAAACTGGACCCAGTAATTCTTCTCTCTCTCTCTCTCTCTCTCTCTCTCTATATATATATATATATATATATATATATATCGGCACAGTGTAAGTAAAAAATTCACATGATTAATAGCGAAGGGCAGAAGATGATAATGTCAATCCAAATGGAAACATTTGCCCCAAAATGCCCTGGTACGGCCGAGAGTGTGGAGAGTCCGCTCTGCTTCTCGAAATGCTCTCACATGGCCACGCGTATATAGCCTCCACCAGGGAAGTCCTACCCACTGCCTTCTCGTGGCAGGGGTGTTGTTTAGGAAATTGAGAGGACGAAAAGCGAATGTCCGGCACTTTAACCGGGTTGGTGGATACGGAGAGTCCACCTAGGGGAGTTGCAAAACCCTGATTACAAACCAATGGTGCACATAAGCTCTAGTACCCTGAGGGAACAAATGTTGTATGAACCAATCGTTGGTCATCAGCTACCATGGGATTGCATCTCCTTACGATGCTCCACTGCCTTGTGGATCAGACCTTTAGGTCGAAGGCTCCGGGTGTGGCCCCCTAAGAAAACCACCTGCTTCGGTTTGGGCATCCGGGCAGTATCACAGCCCTCAAACAAATTTGATGATGTGGCGCATATGTATTTGGTGCCCCTTTGTACCAGTATTTATGTGTTCAAATAAATAAATAATAAAATGGAAACAGTTTGGAAAGAAGTGATTAGATCAAAGAACAGTAAATGCCGAATAACACTATGTTAAGGACTTAGATAAAGAATAAGTGTAAATATGGTATCTCTGGCCGGCTCCTACTGAACCGTTTATATAGGCTTTCACAACTTAGACTAGTATTTAATGACTATATGGGCTAATGCTATTCCTTGGTTTCTTTGTCACTTATATTTTTCCATCTTACAGGACAGTGAAAAACAAACTGATGAACAATATGCTAGGCAAATAGACATCTTTTTTGAGCTGAATGGAGTACTACTTAGTAAGAGCCAAATAGATTTTCGTACCTATGCGGAAATTCCATAGGCTACCAACCAATTAGGGAAGATAAATCACCCAAGATACTACTTTTCCCTTTATGATCAAATCAGATACTAAGGCAACACTTTCCATTCAAAGGGATAGAAACCCAACGCCAAAATCCTTGTATCGTTACTCAAAACGTCTATAAGACTGCATTTTCCCATCAGTTTTATTAAACAGGAATATGCGATTCGCATACTCTAAATTAATCAAGGTATATCCGGGTAGATAATTTATCCATAAAACACTACATGGAGAATTGCCACAAGAACCCCACCAATGACAGAAGCAAAGTGAGTAGTTCTAGAGAACAATACTTGATATCGCCAATTTTAATGACTATTCACCGTAAGCTTTAACCTAACCAGTAGTGTTCGAGTAAAAAACCTTCAGCAGACTGATAATTTATGATACAGCTTGCAATAACAGACAACCCAGCAGAGCACATCGATTACAAAATCGAATGCAACCTTCTGGTCATGAAGTACAACTACATTCAGCCCTCGATAAGTTTGAATACCAAAACTCATCGAAGGACGAATATTTGATCTAAACATCCAAAACCGGGTGTGAGACTTTGTTTCTCACGAAATTATTGTCTGTAAAATCCATGTAAGTGTCAGATGCATAATTATGCTAATATCATAAACGCTATATTAGATAAATTCTTTACTCTATGATCATAACAAAAGAGGATTTCTGTCCTTCATTATAAACAAGGGCGATCAATAGTCGCGACCAATTTGATTGGATTACGTCCAGATTTTAAACTCTAGCAAACACCTTAGTCAATATCAAAACTGGATCAACATCCCTTAAATACCACTGAAATAAAACTACATGTGCCTGCTAATCTACTTAAGCTTAGGTCGGTTATAATCTTTACGAATTCGCTAAGAGTTGAATATTCGAAATCCACCACGCATTCAAAATGTTTATGAATGGTCGAGAAATACAAGATAGCTGGAGGCTACTTGTTGAATCGCTTTTCAATGTTCTATCGATCATTCCAATTGCCCGATCTGAGAGTGGGTGATCGTTTAGTGTATTTTGGTGATAACAAAGGTTGAATTTTTAGTCACAGTCTCTCTGATAAGCCTAAATAAGTGTCTAGTGTTATCTGTCTCCTCTGTATTATCCATTTATTTTGCTTTTGTCTTGCAAAGACTGTGGTCACTGTCAAACTGGTGTTTCAAATTGTGATGAAATGGCTTAGTTCTTATTTAGAAATGATTTTACATATGATACATAGCTGGGAGAAAGAACAAATTGCCTTCTATTCACTACATTGCTAGAGACTGATATCCCAATCAAAACATTACTTTTGATCGTAATGCCTTGTCTCCGTAATGTTTTTTTGTTATGACATTTATAAGTATGATAAGTCCCGGAAAATATCATTTTATTCATGTGAAACCATTTTCACACAATTACCTTTGATCTCAATCGCTACCAAATAACATAAAATTATATTTTCTACACAGTAAAACTAAACGCACAAACATGCAAAATTTAAAACTTAAAGCATTATTTCTTAAACGATTTGCCGATTTTATTTACAAGAAACAAATTGAAATTAAATACAGGAAAATATACAAATATTAGCAAAAAAATATAATTCATTTATCTGAAGGACTTTCTTTGCTGTTTTTTACTTGTAGATGCAGTAATAACCTTGGGTTCTGTCGGACGTCGCCTACTTCGGCGGCAACCATCCTTGTACACACTTTCGGCTTGTTCTGCTAATTCTTTAGCCCACGTTGAGGGCCTTTTTAAGAGTCGAATTCTTTCACCCCAACTAACGGCTTCTTTTACATCGGTTGTTGTTTCCTCAGACTTTTTTGACGAATTTAAAGTGGTGGTTTTTGAGGGCGAAGAATGCTTACTAATTTGTTGAATGTCAGAAGGTTGAGAAACTGGACTGTTCTCAGCACTTTTACGACTTATCATTTTACACCCAACTATTCCAGCACCAACTACTACGCCAATACGTGGTGTTTCAAGGAGATTTTCGATATCTGGAACTTTTACATCCACTGAAGGAGACGCTTTAACCGAAGGACTATGCATACTGGACTTTGTGCTGGGAGTAAAACGATTTTTAAGGCAATTTTGTTTGGTTGAGTTTTCCAATTCCATTGAAAGTATCTCAATACGATTTAGGGAATCCTATGATGTTATAAGAAGTGAGGAAAAAAGGTAAAGTTATTAACCTATAATTATATTAGGTTTGAATGCCAAATTTAATAAACTTTACGGGTTACATCATTATTTCGTTAAGAAATAGTTATCAGCGTAGAACAATGGCCACGATCCCACAAAATGCCCTGGTACGGCCGAGAGTGGGGAGAGTTCGCTCTCCCTCTCGAAATGCTCTCACATGGCCACGCGTATATGGCCTCTTCCAGGGAAGTCCTACTCGCTGCCTTCTCGTGGCAGGGGTGTTGTTTACGAAAACGAGAGGACGAAAAGCGAATGTCCGGCGCTTTAACCGGATTCCAAACCGATGGTGCACATGGGCTCCAGTATCCTGCGGGAACAAATGGCGTATGAACCAATTGTTGGTCACCGGCTTCCATGGGATTGCATCTCCTTACGATGCTCCACTGCCTTGTGGATCAGACCTTTAGGTCGAAGGCTCCGGGTGTGGCCTCCTAAGAAAACCACCTGCTTCGGTTTGGGCATCCGGGCAGTATCACAGCCCTCACACATATCGAATGAGATTTGTGTGGTGCATATGTTTTGGTGCCTCCTTGTACCAATGTCTATGTGTTAAAATAAATAAATAAATAAATACCCGGGCAGTATCACAGCCCTCAAACAAATTTGATGGTGTGGCGCATATGTATTTGGTGCCCCCTTGTACCAATATTTGTGTGTTAAAATAAATGGCCACAAGTATATTTCGAGAAACTCAAGTTACGAAGGATCCGCTCCAAAATCTGGATCACCTGGAAAATACTTTACCTGGCGTCTAAATTTACCGGTATTTATTTATTTAAACACATAAACATTGATACAAGGATGCATCAGGTACATATGCGCCGGGCTGAAATACTCTTCGGGCGCCCAAACTGAAGCAGGTGGTTTTCCTAGAGGGCCACTCCCCGAGCCTATGACCTAGAGGTCTAATCCACAAGGCAATGGAGCAACGTTATGAGATGCAGTCCTATGGTAGGTGGTAACCAACAATAGGTTCATACGCCATTCGTTCCCTCAGGATCATGAAGTCAATGTGTACCGTTAGTTTGAAATCAGTGTTTTCCAATTACCAAAGGTGGATCTTCCATATCCACCAACCCGGTTAAAGTGCTGGATATTCGCTTTTCGTCCCCTCAATTTCGTAAACAACACCTACGTCGCGAGAAAGCAGTGAGTAGGAATTCTCTGGTAGTCCTACTCAGTTCAGAATTATGGATTGATATACTTTGATGCATAGAGATACCGCATATGAAATTGCTCAACAAATTTTTAGACTAATGAAACACATGATTGAAAATGAACTGATTTCCATTTAGTTGACAACACATGTTCGTATTAGAAGCTTACATAAGTACTGAGTATAGAATAGCTGTAAGCTCTAGATAGTCTCAGAAAGATATTGGCTCTTTTTAGATTACCTTTTCACGTTTTAACTGCAGAATAGTTTAAATCCATATATCTTTGTATCTAGACGTATACGAAAAATGTACTATTAAAAATGTATCCATAGTTGATTTAAGGATGAGAAAAATCATGTATGTACTTAAAAATAAAAGTTTATATTAACAGAATGTGGCAGTGATTTACATCTAATACGACCTGATTTTGTATTCGCTTTGTAGAGATGTCAAGGCAAAACACTTAGCGACGTGAAGCCACATAGTGTTTAAACTCAAAGGAAAACTGAAGCCTCATCAAAACAAACTGATGCATGAGTAATATTTTAAGTTACTTTAGCTATAATAAATAAACATGCTTAAACGTAGACGGATAAGTCAATCAGTGGTCTTGAGCGCTTTTAGAGGTATGAGGGCGGTTTTCACTTCCCGATCGCTCACACCGTGGAAGGGTTCTTCTCGAGGCACCTGAAAGGAAATTGAGTTAGAGTTGGTCTTAGTGACCTGAGAGCGTAACCGCAGTGCCCAAGGGACAACTGCTTGGGGCCGGTCACATACGATCATTTTGTGAGTAGTTTTCGTGTTAGCTTCGTACTTGTTGGGACCTTACTGACAGAGACGGAAACCCATAGGATAAGGCGAGGTGTGGATTTTTAGGATCGACCTTTTCTAACCCCATTCCTCCTTGTGGGAAGGCAGCACCGCTGTTATGCTGACTATCTGAAGGAAACACCTTACTGCCGTCACACCTCCGAACAATCAGCAGTACGACTTCGCTTTTAGTCTTACCGCTCTTCAACCAACCTGCCTGGCCTGGTAGGACCTGGAGGAGCGATTGCTCCAGCCAGTATAACCCGATTGGCTCATCACGATAGGCAAGCCCTACCATTACGCCAAGGTAGCAGCAACGATCGGGAAGACGGATAAACAGCTTTCGAAATAGTCCCTATGTAAAGGTGATTAGCAGGAGGAAAAACGACGGAAAATTCATAAAAATGGGGCAATGGTTAGCAGTTACATAAGCTTATTAACAAGGCCTATTTCAAAAAAGATCATGATTAGTGAAAACATACCAAAGGCAGGGGTCAAGAGGCTGGGGCAATCGTATGTTTATTGCGTTTTCACCATAGCACTTCTAACATAAACTATGATTATTTGGCAAAATTACGGCTACTTAAGGTATTCCTAAGAATTTCCGTTTTTTTTCTAACTGAGAATAGTTTAACAAAGTCGGCAATTTCGTACCACTACATCGTAAAAGTGATTAAAAGAAACCTAACTATAATACTTACGGGGAAAGTTACAAGATTTAGGCCTGGCAAGTACTCTTCCTCTGGATCTTCCATTCCATCAGTGCCTTGTGTTTTCGAAGAATCCAAAGCAATATTTCCATCATTTATCCTAAGTTTTTGTGTAAGTAAACGTTTGGCCTCAGCATAACGCGACAAACTCATATTTAAACACTGTACCGTTTGGTTTAATCCTGAAGGAGCCTGAAGAGCTTTGACAACAGGTAGAGAACAAGTGAGAAGGTCACGTCGATGACTGAAAGTAGCTTTTGAAACATCGGATAGATCTTCAGCTGGCGAGGCGGTACGGCCCTCTGTAAAATCATCCCGATTCACAGCAGGACTGTCAAAAAGGGGGGCCCCGGGATATAACACTTGCCGCATTGCACAAAATAAAAATGCATTTGCAGCACATAGTTTCCGAAAAACGTAATAGACATCTAAGTGTCCTTCGTCACGAGCCTCCGTAGCAACCTGTAAGATCCAAGACCAACTTTTAGGACAAACACGTATATGAACCTATTAGTCAACCAAATAAGAATACATAAAACATTGGAATATTAGTTTTATAAGCAGATAGAATTGAGTTAGGCATGAAATTTCATGGGTGTTTTAACATCAAAAAATATAGCTAAGCAACAAAAGCTTCATGTTGAACTTAATTTCCGCTATCATCAGGAACACATCTAAAACTTACCAAGAAAGCACGATACCTTCATGATACAACTTAGACGAACAATAATGCCGTAAATTTTCAATGTTGAATCCATTTTGTGATGCCGAGATAAATTTAGTTTCAGTCGGCCATACACGACAAAGAATTTGAAAGATATGTACATCAGTTCAGGTAGTCACACTCAATAAACAAAGCGAGATGAAAGTTTTGGAGGTAATAACAGTATTAGTGGTAATGGCTAAGATTAGGCATTGAAGATACAATTCGAGAAGAAAATGTGGACTATTGGGGTAAATAAAATAATTATGAAGTGATTTAGAAACTTGGGATCTAAAAGAAAACGAAGAGCGAACGTACGTGCACCATTGCGAACGATTCTGAGCCGTCACTCATGGTCTCCAACCATTGGTTACGATAACTTTACAGACTCCAACCAGGTATTTTGCAGCTAGCTACATGGCTTAGTCCGATGATCACTGTTTTCATGGACTGATGTTACGTTCTGGCTTGACCACTTTAAGCGGTCAGCATCTGGCGGGACAGTCCGTGTAGCAGGCGAGCATTCTACCAATGAACTGACGGAGAACCCAGTTTGAAGGTGATTAAACAAGTCTTACGGAGAAAATGTTTCCATTTGAGGTGAAGATGTGCAATAAATTGATTAAGTGGACATCCAACTACCTCAGTAAGTCAGTCAGTCAGCTACAACGTAGGACCAGGCACATATGTGCATCGGTCCAGGTTGCCATACCGCATCAGCACAACAAGATGAACACCGGATTCATAGCAGTGGTTAGGTCAAAGGTAGTAATATGTAAGAGAAAGATTGCATATAGAGATATAGTACAAGAAGAAAGAATTGGTTCGTAGAAAGAAAGATATGAAGCGATTTTAATCTCTTAGTTTAGGGGAAGACAGGGAGTGTATACACCGACGCCATTGTGATCGATTCTGAGCCATGTCATCCAGTCTCCAACCATTGGTTACGATATTCACGCGGACCTCAACCAAGTAGTCTGCATCTACCAGCATGGCTCAGACTAGAAGTTAGTGACTTCAAGCACTGATGCCACGTTTTGGTTTGGCCGCCCCTAACTTTCTTCCAACCATCTCCAATACCGGATAGCATTGCACCTCGTGGTAATCGGTGTTCAGGCATAAGTAACACGTGACCCAACCATCTCAGTCGATGAAGATTCATAACCTCATCAACTGATTTACCATCATTCCCTAATACCCTGCGTCTAACCTCACTATTACTTACCCGGTGATCCCAGAAGATACCAGAAATATTTCTAAGGCACCTGTGGTCAAATACTAGTAGCTTACGGGTGTCTTCTACTCTTAACGGCCATGTTTCGCTGCCGTAAATTAAAACAGAACGGACTGCCGCGCAGTATACTCGTCCTTTTATTGATAGACGGATATCTCGCCTTCGCCATAGGTGACGTAAGTTGGCAAAAGTCAAGCGAGCTTTTCGAATCCGTGCTGAGATTTCGTCAGACACCAACCCATTAGGGCTGATCAGACTTCCAAGATAAGTGAAGTTATCAACGTGTTCGACTACTTCACTCCCTATCCTTAGTTCAGGTGTAGATACAGACCAGTCCTGAAGCAGCAATTTGCATTTAGAGGGGGAGAAACGCATCCCAAACATTCTGTCATTGTTGCTCAGTGTTACCAAAAGACTGCATTTTATCAGCGTCTTCACCAAACAGGACTATATCATCTGCGTATTCTAAGTCGATAAGTGGACCTCCTGGAAGGAGATCAATACCCGAAAATTCAGTAGACGAGAATGTTATTTCCATCAATAGGTCTATGATGATGTTAAACAAAAATGGATAAAGTGGACAGCCTTGACGGACACCACTTGAGGTTATAAAAACAGATGACAGTTCGCCATAAGCTCTGACTCGACTGATAGTGTTCGAGTAAACAGCCTTCACAGGGTTTATGTACTTCTGAAATACGCCTTTCAATGACAGACACTGCCACAGAACCTCTTAGTCTACAGAGTCATATGCTGCTTAAAAGTCAAGAAAGACCACCATTGTCGGACGCCGATAAGTATGCCTATGTTCTAGAACCTGACGAATGGTGAATATGTGGTCGATGCAGCCACGACCAGGTCTGAAGCCAGCTTGATTCTCTCGTGTTTGCAGTTCACGAGTCTTAGTTAGGCGTCTGATAATTATCGAAGCTAGTATTTTAGATATTATATTAGTTAAACTAATCCCTCTGTGGTTGTCACAGGATGATTTTGACCCTTTCTTATATATTGGGACGATAAGTGATTGTGACCAGTTAGATGGGATAACATCTAACTCCCAGATCTTAGCTAAAATATTAGTCAACCTAATCGCTAAAATTGGACCACCATCCTTAAAGACCTCTGGAGCCAGTCCATCTGGACCAGCTGCCCTTCCTCGCTTCAGATTAACTATAGCCTTTTGAACTTCAGCAAGAGTTAGGGGACCTACTTCAATGTTCCATTCACACTGTCTGGGAATGGAGGGTAGTTGTAGAGTAGCTGAAGGCCAGCTGAACTGTTCTCTGAAATGTTCCGCCCATCGTTCTAAACGCCTGGACTGGGAGCAGATGAGTGTATCGTCTTTTTCCGATATAATCTCACTTACACTTGACTTATTAATTCCAGTTTCTTTTATTAGTCTGTAAAGCTGTCTTGTGTTCCCTATAGTCGCCGCCTTTTCCATCTCTTTTGCTTTCGTTGCCCACCGCTTCTCACGGTCGTTTCTTAGACTTTTTCTTAACCTAGATCTGATTTGTTGTCGCTCTTCCTCATGTTCGGAACCTGATGGGACGAGTTTGCGAGAATCCATCAGTGTGATAGACTTTGAAGAAATCCACTGGTTCTTTGTAACTCTGTGGTTTAAATCATTGATATATGTCACTGCTGTTTCCACAGCTGTTTGTATATTTTTCCAAGCAACATCTGGGTCAGCCTCGTCTTCACAACTACCTAATTGTGACCTCAGTTGTTCCTGGAACCTACATTTGGTTTCCTCGCTACTTAAACCAGTTCTAATGGGTCTTCTTACTGTGGCTTTTTTGCGTCCAGTGGGGCGCAAGCAGATGCGTGCCCGTATTAGGGCATGGTCGGAGTCCAAGCAGGTACTCCAGAATGAGCGACAATCTTCTACAGACCCTCTCCAACGACGACTGATGGCAATATGGTCTATTTGAGTCCATCGTTGGTTTGGTGTAGGGGGTCGCCATGTTAGACGATGTCTCTCCTTATGCTTAAAATTTGTGTTTGCTAAAAATAAACGATTGTCTGAGCACAGTTGCAGCAGACGATCACCATTATCTGTTCGTTGTGCCGGAATACTAAAATACCCACCTAAATGCCTTTCTGTTCGGTTTAAACTGCCTACCTGGGCATTAAAGTCACCTGCTACGAGTACTATGTCTGAATGTTTAGCTTTCTGTAAAATTCATCTTTCACTTCATCTGAGCTACAGTCGGTGGGAGCGTAGGCAGAAACGACAAAAAGGCAACGTGTCCCTATCCTTCCGAGTTCTTACGGAGCCGTTTAGCCGAACAGCACATAAACAACTGTTAACGGGGATCCACTCTAGCAGTGCTTGTTCCGCCCTCATACTTAGTGCTGTCCCTACACCTGCCAGTCCACGAGAGCTGGCCGTCGGGTCACCAGATACACGGAGGGTGTATCTCGTTAGCTCACCGTGTTGCCGAGGTGAGGTCAAGTGAATGACCACACTGGGATCCTGTATGTGTGTTTCAGAGACACAGCATACATCAGTGGTACGAGATTCTAGGGTTCTAGCCAAGGAAGCCTGTTGACCGATTGAAGGCTCCAATGTGTAGTTTAGAGCGAGGTTTCAGTAGACCTGGGATAGTGTTTTGAGCACTAGAATCGTTGGCTGTGGTGACACTTGAGGGGGAAGCCGAAAAAGGAAGTTTAGAGGTGAAAGTCGATGTAGGAGGAATAATAGGAAGTGAAGACGAAGGTTGATTATGAATACAGTGGTCTTGAGTGCTGTTAACAAACGTTAAGAAACGAAATGAGACTTAACGTCACTTTGGAAAATTAGGACAGACAGCTATACACAACGTAATACCTTACACTGTGAATCACTTTAAATCTCTATATCTCACATTAGTGCAGCAAAATAATTAGCAAGCCAACATGTGAAGAAATAAAAGTAAGATCAACAATATTAACAAGCCGAAAATAAGGGAAAATGTCTGAGAGGAATGAGAAAAATGTAGTAATATTATTTCTAAGATTTACAGGTAGATGAATAATGAGTGGACGTGCGCCACCGCGTCATTTAAAGTTGCTGATCATAAGTTACGGTAGTGTTAACAAACCGAGCTAAGAAAAAAACTGAGTAAAGTGGAATTATCTTCAAATATAGTGGTTTCAGTGTTACATACTAATTTGTTACCAAATGGACCAAAGTAGGGGATATTTTGAGCAAAATAATTGCCAATTACATATTTTAAGTTAGCAAAAAGTCCAACATAAAACTGAAATTTCATTGAAATCATCAGTCGATTTAAGGTAGATTACCACTGAAAACCCGGAAAGCCTTTTCGTCCCAGTATGAGGTTCTGCAGCAGTGCAGTTCATGATTTTAATGAAACCTGACAATCTCCACAGCCCTATACTGACAATTATTATGCCCTCATTAGTGACTAGCTTTGAAAGGAAAGTTCCGGAGTTCTAGTGAGAAGCAGTGATCAGTGGAGCTAAATCGTGCTGGGTGTGAAGCAGTTACCCAGCAACGACAATAAAAGATAGTTACACAGTATCATGAATTGATTAAAGTTAGACATTAACACCGTTGGATGCTGGCTCAGTGATCAAAAGGTTGAATTTTCGTGCGCGAGACAGGTCTTGGGTTCGATTCCCACGTATGCGGTCATGTACGTACACAGTTGAGGATTCTTGTACCAGGATTAAGCGGCCACACAGTGCCTCCAGGTTTTTAATGATCTGACATTGATTCATAATTTAAATGAAATCCGACAACCTCATACTGATAAAATTAAAAGCTTTGTAGCGCAGTAGGGGGATCTTGGTACGTTGTGTTCCCCAGGTTCAACGATCAAATCGTTGAGTCTTTATTATCTTTTGGGTCACCAGCAGCAGAGCAAACTTCTAATCAAAGCTCGTAAATTTTTTAGTGATGTTGCTTAGAAATACTATTTGACCTATACGATTAAACAACCCACTAATAACATCAAGAGCTAGAAAAGGTAGAAAAGAGATAATTAAAATCAGAATAACAGAGTTCTAAATCTCTTAAACGCAAGAATCTACCTTTACTCACTACTCAAAGCCTAAAGCTATGTTAATAACCAGTGGCCGAGGGTAAAGAGCCTATACTCAATAGACTTGTACCTTATCTAATCAAAATGAGCAATTCAAGATTGCAGTTCAGCCTGACAAAATAATACGCACGTACAGGTGTTACTAAAGCACATGCAACACTTATCTGTATTAACTCCGCCGACACACTTCGTAAGTTGATTTACCTTTCCTACCTAAAACTACTTTGAAAGTATTCAACAAGAAAAGCAAATAACCTGACTCGGTGAGCTCATGTTTCGTAAATATCAACTAGAACTACTTCTATGGTTATACAATACATTGAAGAGCTTACTTTAAGTAACATTTTTACAAAACAATAAGTTTAAGTAACTCCTATAATATTAATGAGGACTGTAAATTAAAGAGGATAAACAAATAATCCCTAACCATGTAAGAATCTGCAAAGAACACTTGTTCGTTCGTCAAATATTTGGTTGCAGGTGTACAAAAGCCCTTTAACAAGTAGTGAATATGTTTTATCTTTTATTTAGTATTTAGTGAATTAGAGTAGAATCTGGATTGTACAAAATATTGTATCTCACAATCGGGATGTGGATATCCATCATACGCAGTACGTAAAACACTAGCTTATGAAAAGGACTTTCAACTATTAATGATCTATGAATAGCAATAACCCTGCCGTATATCAATTAAAACCTTCAAACTTCTCACCAAGTAGGTCGACACTGACGTCGTAGGGAACGCGCCAACGTTTTTGTAAGAAACTATTAGTAGTGCAGTTGATCATCAAAAGCTTACTTAAATTTTCAAAAACAAATTAAGATGAAGACAAAATAAAATTCATGTCTACTAATTAAGGTTGAGCAACAAGTAATCTTTCTCCAAAGTAAGACGGTTGAACACTGGCTGGGGAAATAATTAGCTATGCAAACACGCTGGTCGGAAACACTTCTTTTACCGAACAAAGGACTAGATGAAAGATATCCATCAATTAATCAAGCCCAGGTAACTAAGGCAAGCAAAAAGTTGTCTGCTTCCTAATGCATATAATATAAATTATGAAAGCACTACTAATCATTTACAACTTACTTTTGATGGGATAAGCAACAAGTTATGTGAATAACGTGCCGATATGGTACTCCCATGAATATAAACCAAGGTGTGTACTAATCTTATTACGTTTCTGAAGTTTCAATGGTACGATAACAAAGGAAAATACTATTGAGTTAGGTAACAGTCTTGTATAATTATTTCGAAAATCTATACGAGATAGTAATTTGACACCTGGGGTAGCACTAGTGGAGAAAATATTTGATTTGTGACATGTCGATAATCCTTACCGTAGCTATTATTATGCATTCAACTTATTTAAGCAGATGTCAAGAAGCACTAAAACTCACATGATTGCGAATGGGCTGCTTCCCGTGGAAAGCATAGAGAAGGTAGAGTGCGCATATACGAACTAACTTGTTTTTAGATAAGGTTGGCTGAAACAGACTAACCAACCGGTGAAAAATGCAGCCAACTATGTCATATAAACCGTGTTGGCACTGCCTCCCCTGAATTAAATGGATCAGTTTGTACTTCTTCCAGAGCTCCGCAAAATCCACAAAACGAGGACTGCCTAAATCGGCGAATTCTTCAGTAAATGCTTCAATATCCTCATCTAAGCCCATGATAGGATTAAAAGCAATTTGCAAATAGTATGAACCATGTATGACACTGTCCCTCTAAATGAGAGTAAAATATAGACTTCAAATTTTCACTTACTGTCTCTTGTTGTTCTCCCATCGTGGTATTATGATTCTAAGTTATAGCACACGGTAGCCGATTGCACCCTTAAATTATAAACAATTGTTAGCAACCGCGGATGCGTCTGTCCTCAAGGTCAATCTTTCAAACCACAAACTTTGTTAAATAGAAAGAACCTTGTCTCTTTGCCGTCTCTAGTATTACGAATAATATGCTTGCTGGATTGTTTTATTCTCCGAACGATGATCTTCTATGAGAACCCACATCCTTTTTTAGGAGCTAATTCACCTCTTCAAGTTGTTGATCAAGATTCAATATCTTTGTGGCCAGCCCGCATAAACCGGGGAATTTTTCTGTGTTCTCTTGTCGATGTTACTGTACGGCTGCAAACCTTTGATATCGTCCAGCCTAACTGAACTGGTCTCTTGGCTGAAAAAATTCCAGGAAACTTGATAATGACCTTTTTCTTGAGTACAACAGAGTGTGTTTGTTCTAACACAGTGATGATAGTAAGATCAGTAGCTACCATATCACGTGGCAAGAGCTTCATTTGTTACAATGTGAAAAACGAATCTCGGAATTCAGGTGAGCAAAGATTACGGTTACGATGGATTAATTAAGAGTTTAGACATGCCACAAGTGATCGGAGTTTGACAACTTCTTTAACCTTAACACCTATTTAATCGAAGTACGACAACCCGGTCTAATCAAAAGCTAGAAATGGAGAGGTTTGAAGACATATTTGATAGATTATCGATATGTTGAAAAGCATTTGGTCCAAGCTGGCTAATAGTTGCAAGGGATGAGCAACGTGGTGTACCCACTCCTGATCTGGTGTTGTTACGTGGTCAAGCGCACTCGGCTACGGCGTTTGCACTAAGACTGACAAGGTCGTCATCAATGTTGGGAACTTACAGAACGATTTGTTTTATGAATTTATTTACCACTGATGGCATAATCGAATGTACCGTATTTGTAGGATCCTCATCTGGGTTTGGACGAAACTTTGATGTTTGATCCTAATATATCCTTGTAAATTGACTTTATATGCTTGTCCGTCCATCTCCTTCTTGGTGATATTTCATTGTTATACGAATCTGTAAAATTTTGAGATACGTTAACAAGGTGACACCAGACACAATAAAGATTAGATCTGTTTGGCGCATCTCTGTATTTGTTTTATTATAAAACACCTGTCGGTTATTTATGTACAAGTTTCAATATAAATTCAATCCAATTGCTAAGAGTTATAATTCTGGTGTTAAACCAATTTATTAATACTTCATTTCAGTTGTACTCATTTGATCAGGTTACATTTTGACTCAATCTATCAATATCGTAAACGTCAGTTAATTTAACTGCTTGAATGTGTACAAAGTAACAGCATTATTCAAGCTCTTATTTAATTAATTGATCATCAGCCATTAAAGTAAAGACAAGGAACATAACAGTTTAGCCAAACGTCTAGGGTTATCAATTGTTGATATTAGGTAAAGATTCACATTTCCCATGGCTTCGGATATCTAGAAAACAAGGTAAAACATAACCGATTGTCGTTTGAAAACGTAAGGTCTTATGTTAGTACTAGCCAGCTAAGCTGAATAAATACAGTGACTTCATTAGCAGCAGGTAAAACCCAGAAAACAAAGCAAAATCAGGAAAAACTTTGCTCCAACGTTCAGAGTATTACACTAACTTCTGAATTTTAGCACACTGAAGCATCAAATTCCGTAGCTACACAAAAGAAATAGCTGAAAGAAGCACAGAACGAAGAAAGCCGACCGCCATTGCTTACGAAGATGGCGGATGTAATAATTCCCGCCTCATTCTGATTGGTTGCTAAGCTGAAGGGCACATTTACGAAATTGAGTTGCGTTTAATTGCAGCCAATGTCTCCGCATCCAACAATAATATGATTCTTAATAAAAACACATGCAAATCTGTTGACCTGCAGTTTCACTTTACGCTCTCTGCATAAACTTAAAAACAAGAGTCTGTGGAATCGTTAGTACTTGTGGGCACGTAAAAACTATATATGAACGATATACCGATCTCCGAACTGCGATTAAAACAACTTTTAGTCCCAGTCTGACTGAGTATGACTGAATTATATTGATGTCAATGAAATACATGAAAAACAGGCTTCTTGATCCATCTTCCCAACTTGCGAATTCTTACAGATGTAACTCACTCTGAGCTGTCCTTAATCACGAATTCCTAATGATTATCCCTTTATACATTATTGGTATTCCGAATGCAAAGTATTTGGTTGTGCTCACAAGGTTCTCTCTGACTTGTATATTGGTCCATTTGCGACAACCAGATCACAAATTGGATAGTTCTGAGTATTACTGGTTAACGTACTGAATCCTTGGGGAAAATATGACCACAAGGAAGCCGAAATGGTCAAAAACTCACTTTAAAACTCTCACGTATGTGAGTTTATGTAACGCCCTTGAGACTACGATAAGATTACTTCCCCTAACATTGTTCCGCTGAACTTATGCAAAGTTTATTCTCGACCAAACACCTATGGTTGATAATAGCGTAATCAACACTCACTCATTGTGGAAGACGAGTTTTGTTTTTCTCTGAGCTCAATCTAGTCGTTTGCTTGTGACCTGAACCGTTATGAAGATATGGAGTGTGATTAACTAATACGCGTTCATTGTCCGTGAGCCTGACGAGCATCGGTGAACCGTTCGACATTCATTAAACCAACTGCCGGATGTCTTGGCATGAGTTCAGTAATATTGTGATAATTAAGGGTATTTGAATTATAGTACGAACTAAGAATCCCAGAAATAACACAACTGGATCAAGAAGTACTAGATAAGCACGAACGAATGTACAGCACGGGAAAAACGTCGGGGCCGTTCGAAGCAGCCCGCTCTTTCTTTTGGATGACCTTGAACGGCCTGGCAAGAGGTGGTCATTCCGTATTTCGATTGCTGTGTGTTTGTTGGGTTGCATGAGTATCAAGTTTTTTCATAATTAAGTCATCTTTTGCTCCATTAAAAAGCACAAAATAACTGCCGAAAGCACTAATTTAGTGTTCTCTGTCTTGTAATGTACACGTTGGCTCTGTTGCCGCTTCGTAACTTGATTTGTGATCCCAACTGCTGTAGTAAACCTAAACGAAATGCCAAGTCACCGGTAAATCTTAAGTATTTGTAGTACTTCCTTGGGTTATTGTTGTTTTAAGGAATAACGTTTTTACAATTGATGATTTATGTTTGTAGTGCTTCATGCTCAAATGACATTTCAGTCGACCTTAGCTATGCTTTTCAAAGTGTGATTCTGAACATGAGTTTCGCATGCTGGGATGACTTTGATGGCGCGCTAAAAGTTCCAAAAGGTATGGAAGAATAATTTTATCCCTTCTCAGACTACTCATACTCATTACATTCACACGGAAAGCAAGTTGCTGAATGACGTCAGGTCCAAATACCTGTTTGCTACGTTTCACTGTACATTTGGTCATAAGCGTAATTCGGAGGGTTTGAAAGTGAATCCTTAATTTCCAATCAAAGTTCCGTGTAAGACTGGAGGAGCAAGAATATGTCATCAAATCCTACAAGATGCTCCACAATCATCCATGTAGTAGTTCATGGATGGTTTGTGATCTATGGACAAGAAGATTGTTGTCGGAAGAGAAAGAGAATTTGAAACCAGTCATTTTGCAGTCCCAGTCAACGGATGAAGTTATAGAAAATGTCAAGGAGTGAACTGGTAAGGTGGTCACAGCTGCTGATGTAAAGACTATGAAAGCTAAACTCTCCACAGGTAAGTGTATAAAAATGTATTTCAGGTTGTTGTACTCGTAAGCAGGTAATGGATTCGCTGTGTCAAAATGGAGAAATGAGGGAAAATTTAGAAAATGGATATGTAAAGAGAATATGTTTCAGTAGTTATGACCAAATAGTTGTACAATAAATATCCAGAAGTTGTGTGTATTGATTCTACTTATAATACCAATAATAAGAAGTGATTATGCCTTTCGTTGTATTATACTTTGTAGATATTCCTTATTCCAGTTGGTTGTGGCGGATAATTTCGGCCGAAGACGTCCTGTACTGCTTTCTTGGAGGCTAAAGAAAATTCGTGTGAATGTAATGTGGATTCCTGATCAATTCAAAGAAATCATGGGAACAACTACACGGGCGGAAACACTTGTTATGGAATAAGTACGAGCAGAAAGTGCGGCTATCCGCATCACACACGGTCATGCAAACATTATTTTGTGCGCCTTTCACGTAATTCGCGCGTTCCGCAAAAAGGTACATCAAGAGTTGTTTACACAAAACTGCCCTTAGACACATGACAAAATACTGAGAATGTACCTGAGTCGATTGGTAACCGCAAAAACGGTTGGAAGGTATTTTTTAATGTATTTATTCACTAGATTTAATCGATATTTCAGAACATTAAACCAGAGAGACAGACGGATAGGCCAGTATTTGGAATTCGAAACCAAGCATTCAAAAAATACAAAGGAATCGTTAGTTCATCCAAACACCACAAATATTTCACTGACTCTTCATGCAATCACTGTTGGACACTAGGGGACTGAGTTGACAAGGATATGCACTAAATTCTAATTAAATAGGGTAAACTGTTTTTGAAAAACAAGGAACGATGCTCTATCTTAAAAACAGGATGAATAAATTTGATTTCCATCGTATGTGAGTAATCAAGGTGTAAGATAGTAATTATTAGAATTACGAGAATCATACAACTCACTACCAGTCAGCAAAAATAAAAGACTTTAATAAACAAGAAAGATAGATTACTGGACGTTCAATGATTTACTAAACTTCGTCAAGACCATGGAGTACTAAAGCGGATAAATTACCCCGTGATGTGGTTCCACCATGTGAGGCAGCGCAGTCGTGGTCTATGTACATTAGCTCTTCTTCCTCTGTTCTATTTAACATATCCCACCTGTAAGATTCCATATTCTCTTTAGGAACATCAAAGAAGCAGGAAAGCTTGTCACCACACAAGGCTGGGGAATCGTGAAATGATGTTAGTCTGACTTATGACTAAGCACGTTGGCCAGTCGAATCGTTCCAGTCAACTATCGAAGGTTAAAATTGTCAGTTAAGTGTTATCAAGATTCAGAATATCGGTACGGTCTTCAATCATACACCTTTATCAGCAAGTGTGGGGAAATGCGCAATAATTTCATCCTTTTTAATATATTTGCTAAGTCTGGACTAAGTTTCGAATTGCCCTATATAGTCTGCGATGACTCCCCCTTTTGAACCAATACCAAAATATCCAAGAACTGT